GGGTGTATATCAGTTGGACACGGGGCAATTGGACACAGTCCAATCACAAGTCGCTGTTCCAAGGGATCCTACAAATGTCTCTAATCACACGGTGCTGTGATTGGATGTATCCAAATGCACCGTGTCCAAGTGCACCGCTCCCACCAGATATACCTCCTTCGGACTATTACTTGTTCCGGTCGATGCAGCACGGCTTGGTGGATACACACTTCAGAAATTACGAGGATGTGCGAAAATGGATCGACGAATGGATTGCATCAAAAGACCAATCGTTCTATCGTCGCGGAATCTATGCGTTGCCCGAAAGATGGGAAAAATGTATAGCTAGCGAGGGAAAATACTTCGATTAATGTATTTTTTGCTTTTGATGTCGAAATAAATGAGTTTTTTAAACAAAAAAACCGCAGGAACTAAGTTTACCACCTAATACTTCGCATAAATATATTATTTATACAGGTGAAAATTTTATATATCAAAAGTTATTTTAACACTAATTCCCTCTCTTTGCTCTATTATATAAAACTATATAATTAAATTCACAAAATATAAATAACTGCGAATAACAATAAATTAAACAATTTATATGTAAATATGTAAATTAATTATTATACACTCACTGGCATGTACTGAATATAAGCACAAAAAGTAATTGCCATAAACAAAACATTTGTAAGGGCTAAGGCAGATGAATGAGACATAAGCGTCATAGTCCCCTTATAGAAATATCATACTAAAAATCATTGATAATTACTTATTATCCAGTATTTTTAATACTGAAAATAAGTAATTATCAATAATTCTTAGTATGATATTTCTATAAGGGTCGTAGACGTAAAATAAAGCAGAGAAAAACGTAAAAGTAAATTATAAAAGGCTATTAGCCTTACGCTTACTTTTTTCTCTGCCTTACTTTACGTCTACGATTACGATGCTTACGTCTCTGCCTTAGCCCTAATTCCTCATGAATTCAAAGTGTTCTAGGAATTAAGTTGCGAAATATTTGCTATAATGAAATCCTAAAGAATATTTCAAGACCTTACTGTGAACTTACTGTGGTTAATTCTTCAAGAATTCTTCGGATATTCATTTTTCTAATTCTATATCTATTCTTTAAAATGAATTCTCTAGGAACTTCTGTTCATCTCTATGCTATCTGGGTTTGAATATAACTTACTACATACATGTTATATTGCATGTTAGATTCCGTTTTATTACGGCAATGTAACTGTTATATGTCTGTGTTTGCTAGGTAAGACACTTATCAACAGGCTATAATATTTTTTCGTAGCTATTATAAATAATATAATATAACATATATGTAACATTTATGTAACATTGATGTAACATTCATGAAGTATGAACTCTGATATGTAACAAATATGTTTCATAACTTTTATTTTTGAATAAGGATGAAATTTTTATATAACAGATACGTTAAAATTTCTTTCACGTTATACCCTTATAGAAATATCATACTAAGAATAATTGATAATTACTTATTTTCAGTATTAAAAATACTGGATAAT